CCCAGCGCCCTTCGTTGTAAATTTCAAACTTCGCGCCCCTGACGTCACTCTCGGAGCAGCTGCGATTGGCCCGAGCGAGGGAACTCCGGAAGCGGCGGAACCAATCGGCAGGCAGCCAAAGGAGGCGCGGTCAGAACGTTGGGGCGGGGCGGGAATGGAGAGAGGGGTTGCCCCGTTCCATAGGGGCGGAGCTTGAGGGAGATGAAAGGGGAAAGGCGATAACTTTGAACTTGAGCGCCGGACGGGAAACTGAGGAAGGGGAGGGGGGGGTAGCAGTGGAAGAGTGGGACTGGGAGGGAGGGGAGATGCTGCCCGCTGGCGCCGGGGAAGAGGGTTTCCTTGTTCTTCCAACGAGCTGGAGGAGGATGGGAGTTGTAGTCCGGCACTTTTGGGAGGGCGCCTGGTTGCAGAAGTCCCGTTTTTCTAAACTGCAGGTCGCGATTTTTTTTATTATTATTATTCATAAACATTTTGAATACAGTGTATTGTCAGGGTATATCATTTACAAAAGAAAAACAAAGGAAGAACAAAAAGAAATATTAACACATATACTGGTAACAATAGTAATATTGTAACATAATAGTTTTGACTAAATTTCTCTTTAGAATAGAATAGAATAGAATTAGAATAGAATAGAATAGAATAGAATAGAATAGAATAGAATAGAAGTGGTGTGGAATAGAATAGAATAGAATTAGAATAGAATAGAATAGAATAGAATAGAATAGAATAGAATAGAATAGAAGTGGCGTGGAATAGAATAGAATAGAATAGAATAGAATAGAATAGAATAGAATAGAATAGAATAGAATAGGAGTGGCATGGAATGGAATAGAATGGAATGGAATGGAATGGAATAGAATGGAATAGAATAGAATAGAATAGAATAGAATAGAATAGAATAGAATAGATAGGAATGGCGTGGCGTGGCGTGGAATGAATAGAATGGAATAGAAAGAATAGAATAGAATAGAATAGAATAGAATAGAATAGAATAGAATAAGGAGTGGCGTGGAATGGAATGGAATAGAATAGAATAGAATAGAATAGAATAGAATAGAATAGAATAGAATAGAATAGAATAGAATAGAATAGAATAGAATAGAATAATTTATTGGCCAAGTGTGATTGGACACACAAGGAATTTGTCTTGGTGCATATGTTCTCAGTGTACATAAAAGACAAGATACGTTCAACAAGAATCATAGGGTACAACACTTAATGATCGTCATAGGATACAAATAAGCAATCAGGAAACAATATCAATAGTAAGGATACAAGCAACAAAGTTAAAGTCATACAGTCACAAGTGGAAGGAGATGGGTGGTGGGAACGATGAGAAGATTAATATTAATATTAGCTTATTTATAATTCTATGAATTATATTGGCATATTTATAATTCTAAACTATCTCCTATCTACTGCTTTATCTGTGTATGACCTGGACTGTTTATTGGACTGTGCCTTATTACTATTTCCTAAAAATAAACACAACTCAGTGTATCTGTGTGTTGGCTATGCTTATTCATAACTGCTCTCAGTCGCTTTCATGTGCACACCCTTGCTACTCTAGGGTTGCTCTGCGAATTCCTCAACAGTGTGTAACCCAGCCCATATATCCGTGACGGCGAACCTATGGCACGCGTGCCACAGGTGGCACGCAGCACCCTCTTTGTGGGCATGCAAGCCGTCACCCCAATTCAGCTCCACCACGCATGCACACATGCCTCCCGCCAGCCAGCTGATTGTCGGGTCTCTGTGGTGCATGCGCGGGGGGGCACGTGCGGAAGTCGGGTGTGCATGTGGGGGCGGGGCGCATGCGCAGAGGCCCACGGGCACATTGCATTTTAGGGTTTCAGGCATGCGGGCACACATTCTAGTGCACACGTGCACGCTTTGGGCACTCAGTCTGGAAAAGGTTAGCCATCACTGCCATATATACTCCTTGACTTTCCGGGACTGAAGGAATGAAAGAAAACTATTGTGCAATCAAATTACTCTAAACCACAAGGGGGCCATGTAACATTTCGAATTAAAGACTAAAGCAACCTTTTGCACTTCATTTCAGTGCACTTCAGAGATAGAGCCAACACAGATTCATCCCCAACAATTTACGCCTGTGTTCAGCAGTGAAGAGGCAGGGCAGAAAATATCCTGCAGACAACACAGCTCCACATCACAGTCCTTTCATCCGTTCCAAGAAGTCTCCACACCCATTTGCACTACTCAGGTGACCCCGAGGACACAGATAAATCTCCAAGCGGCCTCAACGACTCTCTAAAAAGGATGCAAATGACCAGCTGTCTGCAAGGAGTGTAAATCCTCCCACCATCCAGTCAGAGCTGAAGAAGCTTCTCGGGTGAAAAGCGAAACGTCTTCAAAGAAAAAAGTCATTTGCCTCTTGAAAAAGCACCTTTGCTTCCTGTTTGAGCAGGGGGTTGGACTGGAAGATCTCTGTTATTCCGTAAATGAAAAAAAAAAAAGTGATGTACTTAAAACCTTTGGAAGCATCCTACAGTTACATGATCAAAATTTGGGCACATGGCAACTGGCATGTATTTATGAGGGTTGCAATCGCCAACGCGATTGCCATTTGCTTCTGATAAACAAAGTCAGTAGGGAAACCAGCTTCACTTAACAATTATAGGAACTCAGGAAGATAAATCTATCTCAGCATCTATTATTACAGCACTATTGAGAGTGTCCTGACATGCGGCATTCTTGCATGGTATGGGAGCAGCTCTGTCGCGGACAAAAAAGCTCTACAGAGAATCATTAAAACTGCCCAGAATATCATCGGGCTCCAGCTACCAGTCCTGGACGACATCTTCGAATCTCGCTGTTTGAGGAAGTTGCATAACATTCTCAGAGACTCTTCCCATCCTGCTTACAATCTTTTTGGACTGTTGCCTTCTGGCAGAAGATACAGAACAATTAAAACTCGGACCACATGTTTTCTGAATAGTTTTTATCCCAGAGCTATAATTGCACTCAACAAAGAACTAAAGGGCCACCATCAGTGAGCTGTTGGATAGCATTACTTGGTCTGTCGTGTGGATGTTTGAGTGGTTTAGGAGCGGGGAATTTGTGGTGGGTGGGGGGGTGTTTGGGGATTGTTATGTGTGATGGACCTGGTCTTTGGGTGTTAAGTTAATTTGATTGTATGGGTATACTGTGTATATACATACAATGACAATAAAGGTATTGTTATTATTATTATTATTATATGTTCTCTTAATCACACACAAAAGAAGTCACAGAATCAGGCACAACTGATTTAACAATTGCCTCACTTAGCAACAGAAGTTCCAGGTCAGTTGTGGTTATAAATTGAGGATTACCTTTCAGAGAAGGAGGCCCATGCCCTGCCATTCACACTTTGGATGTTAACTCCAAAAACCCAAGAACCTGGGGTAGGTTGGGGTTTTTCGGGCTTAATACGTTGCATGCATGAATCCAGCTCTTGTAAGTTATAAACTAGTGTTACCCTTCGGTGTATGAAAGTACCCACTGTGGCTTGTTAAATAAACCATGGTTTATCCAATATGTATCACCCGACTGTTTTCTCTAAATTAGCCCAGGGAGCAGATAATCAGAAGGCATTTATTCATTTATATATAACCTGCAAGTCCTTTGACCTACTTTGAGGCAAAAATAAAACCCAATTTATTCATTATGTTATTCCCGTCTTAGAAACCGCTGACTTGTTTAGACACTTCAATTTTTGCCAGCTAATATGGTTTTCATTGAGCAAGACTGATCACCAGAAAATCACTCACTAATTGTCAAAATGGAAGGACCCGCCTCATTAAACAAATGCAAAAGTCATTGTCTTTAAACCATTAAGGCGTAAATTCCTTCCTGAGGTGGAATAATGCGATAATTTTGTTGGTTTCCAATCAATCTTGATTTCCTCTATAGAGATTTTGTTTCCTCTTAATTTTTTTCCCTTTGGTAACCATTTAGGCAAAGCAAGCTTTTCCAACTTGATGTTGGACTGGACCAGAATGGCCAGGCAACATACTGTTGGCAGAGGTGGGTTTCACATATTGTTGCCACTGGTTTGCCGTGCGCGAAGGCATGCGCCTTTCATGCATGCGCCTGGCCTTCCGTGCATTCGTGTGGCCTCGAAAATGTGGCTAAATAGGATGGCATTATGTTCGGGTGGGTAGGCGTGGCGGGGGTGGGCCCACCCCGCGGGCCCACCCCCACCCGCCGCTACCAGTTTGCTTGAACCTGTCTGAACCGGCTGAATACCATCTCTGACCGTTGGCCATGCTTGCAAGCAATTCTGGGAGTTGAAGTCCAACACATCTCTATAGCATCAAGTTCAAGGGAGACTCAACCTACATGAAGGGCAGGGCTTTAACTGTATGGTTATGGCCATCATCTTGACTACAAATATCCCAGTGGTGAAATCCAATTTTTTTTACTACCGGTTTTGTGGGCATGGCTTGGTGGGCGTGGTGTGGCTTGGTGGGCGTGGCAGGAGAAGGATACTGCAAATTCTCCATTCCCACCCCACTCCTGGGGGAAGGATATTGCAAAAACTCCATTCCCACCCCACTGTGGGGCCAGCCGGAGGTGGTATTTGCCGGTTCTCCGAACTACTCAAAATTTCCACTACCGGTTCTCCGGAACCTGTCAGAACCTGCTGGATTTCACCCCTGAAATATCCCCATTAAATTCAGGAAGACAGTTCCCCAAAACTTACTTTGCTAAAATTATTATTTAAAGTTATTTGCTGCCCAACTCTCGACAACTTGCTAAACTTTTGTGGAGACCACTCAGAGCTGTGTTCTTTGGATCTTGTCCCTTGTTTGGGATGAATGTTTGTTCTTAGAAATGTTTGTTTACAAGAGTGAGCTGTCCCCACACTCTCTATGCAGCTTGAAGATTTAACACTGGGGGTTGTGGGATCCAGCCTCTTCTCAATATGTCTGGAATAACTTTTCAACAGTGAAACACCTACCCACAAATCAAGTGCCCGGTGGCTTCAT